ATTAAATTATTGGATCATTTGGCATAAAACGAAGACTTTTTGGATAAGAAGAGAAATGAAAGACCTTTTTCTTTTTATTTTAGTTCTACAATGGAGATAATTATCTCATATTTTTAATTTTATTTTATTTGTATATTATGAGACTTAAATTAATAATGTTTTATTGTCAATGAAAGGAGGCGAACATTAAATTATTGGATCATTTGGCATGATACGGAGACTTTTTGGATAGGGAGAGAGTAATTAATTTGAGAGAATCTATATTTTATTTCAAAGTATTCATTCTATAATCAATTTGATTTTAATTCATACGGCAAAATTTTGAAAGAAATTAGCATTTATGATGTAAGGGTAAAATGGTCAAATGAGTTAGAAGATATTTTACGTTTGGTAAGCAGTAGTAGAACTGTTTTGTATTCTGCTGTTGTGGCTCTGACCTCAATGCTCCAATCAAGTGATCCAATTCTCGTTATGTGTATTTTGGTTCTTTGCTTTTTCCAAGTGGTTTCCCTTCTCTCCAGTCCTTATTTTCTAGCACTTGGTTAGGGAAAAGGTATTGTATGGTTAAGGAGCATTAGATGGCAATAGAGTTTTTGACATGGGGAAAGGGAAAATAAGAATGTTTTAGTATTAAAAACACTAAGTTATTAATAAAAATATTGTGATAAATATGATAAAATTAAGTTTTATTTTATATTTTATATATTTAATTATTTTAATTGAACATTTTGTTATTTTTAATGTTAAAACATTTTTTTTCTTTTGATATTAAAAGTTATTTCTTGTATTTTTATGTAATAATTTTTTTTTAAATTTTTGATTGCATATTAAGTAGAATCTTCTTTTATTCTTTAATTGATTTTATCTGCACGTCATGCAATTCAAATTTATATCTCTTGTTTTTAAGAAAAAAAATTATTATTGAGTCATTTAGATAATTGATTTTTAATTTATAGTTTAATCTGATTGTAAAATAGAAAACTTCTAAAAGGAATGGAGTAAAGAAGGAAGAAAAAATAATAGCATCCATTTAAACTAAAATAGTATTAATTAAGTTAATATCTTAATTTAATTAGACAAAATAATGCACCTGGACCTCACGACCTAATGATCATAGGTCAACTTGTAAGGTGCATCCCCAGCCAAAGGGTTCAGGTTCGATTTCCCTCTCCCTTAGAATTGTAACCTTATTCAAAAAAAAAAAAAAAAAAAGACAAAATAATATTTTCTCACCTCCTCTCCCCTCCCTCGTCCCCTTGGAAGAACCAAATGCTTTCCTAAGAGAATCTCGGCCGTTCATAATGTTCCAGTT